CCAGAACTCCTGCAGGCCCTGCACGACGATCCGACGGCAGGGCACCTCAGTGTTTCTCGCACGCTCGCGAGGATACAAGATAGATACTACTGGCCACATCTTACTACCAACGTCACTCGTTAAGTGAGGACATGCCGGGACTGTCAGCGACGCAAGACACCGCCGACAAGGCTAGCGGGACTTCTGCAGCCAATTGATCCACCTTGCCGACCTTTCCAGCAGATTGGTATGGACCTACTGGGGCCGTTCCCGACGTCGGCTTTCGGAAACAAGTGGATCGTGGTAGCTACCGACTACCTCACCCGCTACGCTAAGACAAAAGCCCTGCCAAAAAGCAGTGCATCCGAGGTAGCTAAGTTCTTCGTCGAAAATATCGTCCTACGTCACGGCGCCCCGGAGGTCCTTATCACTGACAGAGGAACGGCATTCACTGCCGACTTAACTCAAGCGATCTTGGCATACAGCCAAACAAACCACCGCCGGACGACAGCGTACCACCCACAGACCAACGGCCTCACCGAGCGGCTTAACAAGACGATCGCCGACATGCTGTCAATGTACGTCGATGACGAACACAAGACGTGGGACGCTATTGTTCCGCATGTGACCTTCGCATACAACACGGCGGTGCAGGAGACGACGCAGCTATCTCCATACAAATTGGTCTACGGAAGGAGCCCGGCAACGACGCTCGATGCCATGTTACCCAACGTCACCGACGAAGAAAACCTCGATGTGAGCGAGTACCTTCAACGCGCCGAAGAAGCCCGACAACTTGCGCGTCTCCGTATCAAGAATTAGCAGACGACCGACAGCCATCGTTAAAACCTTCGACGACGCTTCGTGGAATACCAGCCCGGTGAACGTGTTTGGGTGTGGACGCCGATACGCCGACGTGGACTAAATGAAAAGTTTCTGCGACGGTATTTCGGACCGTACAGGGTGGTTCGACGTCTCGGCCCACTTGATTACGAGGTTGTCCCCGACGGCATCACGAACTCTCAACGACGCCGATCGCGACCTGAAGTCGTCCATGTCGCGCGCCTCAAGCCGTTTCATGTGCGTTAACAAACTGAAACAGTGGTTTTTTTTGTATTATTGTTGTATCGTAATTTATTCATTGTACTTTCTTGCATTATTATTGTACCTTAATTTTTTAGAGTAAGCATCGGGACGATGCCTTTTTCAGAGGGGGGCAATGCCACATTCCATTTCCCAAGTTTTTGTTATCGTCCCAAAACACCACACGATTCTCAGCGCAAACCGCGCCTGCAGTTTTCGAGAAGGTTCCGGACTGTAGTAGATCATTTCGATAAGATCACGCCCACTGTGCGAACGGTACAGATTGTTCTGGAACTTACGTCACCGCCAGCGATAACGCTAGAACATTCGACGGCAAGAGTATAAATGCCGACGCGCTTCGCCGCTTGTCAGTTGTTGATCGAAGGCCGACGCTCCGTTCGCCGCTATCAGTCCGAGACTGCTATCTGTGCGAGACTGCTGCTGTAATTGGACTTTCGGTTTACCGGGCACAGGTTTGCCCAAATAAACAGTTAAATCCCAACACGAAGTTTCCTGTCTTCGGCCACGTCACGACCCCGTGACATATAAGCGATAATCTGCAGCGATTCTTGAGAGCCGCAGTGTCATTTTTAGTTGAGCAGCGGTGGAGTGAGGTGTGCAACTCTGTAGACGGCCAGATGCATAATCTCAAGACATAGAACCTGCTCAAGCACCTGCTCAACAAGACCAGCACCAAAACTAACCAGCGGAACATACTAGCACGAGCCGTGCACGAAGCCAAGCACTCCTCTTCACAAGAGGAGGTTTTGAAGCATCTGGTGCAGAAGTACCTCCCTGTCGACTTGAACCCCGCAACAACGTACCCCGAGCACTCGGGACCGACCAACACTGAACTGGACGCCGAGATATGCCACGAATAGGTTCGGCAGGCGCTCCACACGCTCAATGGAAGGTCTGCCGCGGGCGCCGACGGCATAATTTATAAGACTCTGTGCAACCTGGACGACCGGTGATCGACTACGTCACCGAAGTAATCAACAAGGCATGGAAGAGTGGCGACGCCAGCTCCCCGACCCGTGGAAGGTCGCATGCACCGTGCTCATTCCCAAGCCGGGGAGGCCACCCAACTTGGACAACATGCGCCCCATTTCGCTCACGTCCTGCGTGGGCAAGGTAGCCGAGCATGTGGTACTCAATAGGTTGGCTCGGTACCTGGAAGATAATGGGCTCTACCCGCGCACCATGATTGCTTTTCGGGCCAAGCTTTTGACACAAGACGCTATAAAGCTGCTCAAGCACCAAGTCATCGACTGCAACACTCAAGGCATGCGGGCCATTTTTGGCCTCGACTTAGAGAAAGCCTTCAACAATGTTACTCACTCTTTCGTGTTGCGGTCGATTGTTGAGCTCGGCCTCGGAGTCAGATTCTACGAATATGTCAAATCGTTCTTGACCCGTAGGAGAGCCACCCTCAGAGTGGGACACCTCAGATCCGAGGAGATCGAGCAGGGCTTCCACTCTGAGGGTGGCTCTCCTACGGGTCAAGAACGATGAGCACACTGGCGAGTATCCCAGTACACACATTCCCCCTGATTCTGCATCCGATCATATAGACCTCTGGTGACATGAGGCTGGCGAGAAACGGGACGATGAGTAGTGTTGCCCTGGAGGGGTATGTGAGCTGAACACCCTCTCACCTGTGAAATATCATTCGGCCATACTAAACCAATACCACCATATGATTATGAGAGACACCGTAGTGAAGGGCTCCGGAAATATCGACCACCTGGGGTTCTTGTACGTGCACCCAAATCTGAGCACACAGGCCTACAGCATTTTCGCCTTCATCGAAAATGCAGCTGCTTTAGGCTGCTTCAGGATGGGAAGTAGGAAAACCTACTTCCCACCCTACTGCACGTTATATATACACAGAGAGAGCGCCTTTATTTGAGGCAATTTGTATACTTTCAGTAAAATTCATCTTTTGGCTCCTCACAGCTGACGGTGTTCAGTCAAAGCCAGACTATATCACATCTCGGGGTATCACAGCCGTGCCACCCGCAGTGGAGTGATGGGAAGAGCTGCTGGATAGCCACATCACCAATCAAGAGCTACCCATAGTTTCCATGCAGTAACACTACTGCTAATGAATAGGCTTTTACAACTGTCGCTGAAAATGATCATCTCAGCCCAAAAATGTTTAGCCAAGATTGTCAAATTCTTGCCCAAGCTGCACCATTTTTAGGCTTAGAACTTTATTTATTTATATATTTTCATTACCCCCCATCGCTGAAGCATTACAGAAGGAAGCGGGTCACAATATATAAAAGTTTAAAAACAAAGAAACAAGACATGCGATATTATACAAGTATCAAAGCCAACAGAAATAAAATCTCTACTTGATGAAACAACAAAACAGAAGCATAAAAAGAAGAACTCTGGAGACAAAACTTTACTGTACTAGCGGCAGAATGTGAACATGAGAAAACTGCTGAAAAAAAAAGAAAGGAAATAATATAATGCTGGCATCTCAAAACATGTCAAAAAAATAAAAAGCTGTAGGAAGTAGAAATACATCATGTGACTATGGAGAGCTATCACAAAGCAGGTGAGCTTATAATGAATGACACAAAAGGGAGTGATCAGAGATGGAAACAATGTCACTGTGTAGTTGGTTCCAATCGTTGGATGTGAACGGTATGAAGGAGCAAGAAGAAAATGCGTTTGTGTTGAAAAAAGAACCTTTAACCTTATGTTTGTGATCAGTGTCAGATGAATGATGAGTGGGAGGTGTAATGAACTCAATACGTAGGGATAGATGGAAGACGGTAGATCTCATGGAAAAAAGGCAAAGACGGGAGTACTTGCGACATAGTGAGAAAGCTGGCAGTGACAAACGATGTTTCATAGTTGTTATGCTTGATGTCCGGTTCTGGCATAAGCATGCCCACCAAGCACTGTTCCAAGTAAGTCTAGGTGCAACCATGATAAGAATCAGGACGGGACGATTCAATAAGTGGCCAACACCTTTTGCACGAATCTTACTGTTAGTCCCACGTGGAGTGGATCCTGCAGGTGTGTGTGACATCCCCTGCCTCCCTCAAACTTCTGCTCACAGTGGCATATGGCACTTGTAAAACTTGTTATATCTTCCTTCCCAGCTGTGGTTGATCTGCTGTGGAGTAAGGAAAGGAAGTGGGCGAGTTGGCATTTATGCATGTTATAATCAGTGCAAACAGAGCTTCACTGTTAGAATACACAAAGCTGACAGGCATGCTATAGGGTAAAAAAATTTTGTTCAGTTTGTATACAACCAGAACTGTTGCAGAGCTGCATTACTGCTCTCTTCATATTCCTAAGGAAATCACATATATTAGGACCAATACAACGTTAAAGAACATTAGGAGTGTTTCCAGCCACGCATTGATGACTGCACAGAAAAACCCTCCTCACTATGTGCAACCATTGATCTACCCTCAAGAAGTGTTTTTGAACGCTTTGTGTTTAGAAAAGAAATGGGCTCACTGGTATGAACATGAATTTATTATTGGCATCTCTCCAGTCATCACCATTATCCCCCTCTTCGAAAAAAAGGGGGCTGGATGCCCACTCGTCAGAGCCTGGCATGTGTCGTTAGTTGCCAGGACTCTGGATCCCAACCACGGATTGAACTTGAGAGCTTTATATAGGCAGTGAAACAGAGTGAATGCCTAATATTCTCTTTTGAAAGCAGCAGGTAGTTATGGGTGAAATTGAAATGGGTAAATCTATGGGCATATATTGAAGCTCTGTGGAGGTGATCTTCATTTGCCAACATTTGTTGCTGGCAACTTTGAGTACATTGGACACGCATCAAGTAGGTACATAGATGGTTTGCACAAATGAAGCAATAGCTACTGCTCAGTTCACATGTGTGCATGAGTGAAAGGAAGTGTGAAGCTCTGCATTAGTTATTGTGTGTATTTACTATGTTCCAGTTGAAGCCGTTTATTGCCACCAGTGTGATTCCAATCAACACCTTCACTGCTCCGAGCTGTGGGACCATAACAATTCACCAGAGCCAACAAGTTGTGACAACCTGTACGAGGCCAACTACTGCATCAAGGCCACAGGCATGTATGGGGGTGAGTTGTCACAATATGGCTCATTGGCAATGAAAATAGGACCTTGGGAGGCGTGTATTTGACAGCACTTTTTTTAGGAATCATGCATGGCTCATCCTAAGGGCGATGACTGTATGATTTCAGTAATCCACTTATTTCTTAACCTACTCACCTTTCTTTCTCGCATAAGTGCACTAAACATTTAGACAAATGGAACACTCAATCTTCACTCAATCTTAACCCACAAGCACGAGTTCCAACTGACTGTGCCTTTTACGTGTCTACCACTTCATTGTGTACAGTATTTTGGACTATAGTTGTGTTGTCTGCAGCATAGGCAGAGAGCATGGGGCTGAAGCCTCCTCTAGCACTGGCCCGGGATATTTTTTGAGAGCTTGGCTTAGGCTCTCATCCATTGCCAACAGACTGTTGGCCAACCTGTTTTGCAGCTATTTTACCGGGGATTGTTTATGCCAGCTTCTTTTCCTTTCAGGATATTAAAATTCGGATAACGGAGCAGTCATAAGTAGGAAGTTTGGTGCTGTGGTCACATTACGAATGAAGCTACAGGATGGCGAAAATTGCGGCATTTGCACGGCTTTTGTGCAAGATAAGTACTGAATGTACGCACACGCATGAGGAAACCGAGTTTTTTTAATGTAGCAAACGTTTATTTGTTGTCTTCATAAAACTTTCAATAAATGTGTGAGTGGGCACGGCGGCAATGCCAAAATGCATCGCTCAAACCCCTTCTTGTTTGCCGTCCAGGTTATGCTTGGCATGCTGCTTTCTTCGGCTGGACCGACATCGGGCAACTCATCAATGGATTTTCAACGTGTACCCACGAACACTGGACATACCTGGCCTTATCATCGGGCACCGGATGGCGTTGGCCGTCACTTCACAGCTAACAGTGCAACATCGTCCGAGACCATGACGTCACGGAGCTGCTGCTCAAGAGACTGTCTTGGCGAGGGATCCTTCAGTGGGCGTGGCGGCAATGCCAAAATGCATCGCTCAAACCCCTTCTTGTTTGCCGTCCAGGTTATGCTTGGCATGCTGCTTTCTTCGGCTGGACCGACAGGGGCAACTCATCAATGGATTTTCAACGCATACCCACGAACACTGGACATACCTGGCCTTATCATCGGGCACCGGATGGCGTTGGCGGTCACTTCCCAGCGAACAGCGCAACATCGTCCGAGACCATGACGTCACGGAACTGCTACTTAAGAGATTGTCTTGGCGAGGGATCCTTCAGTGAACGCGGCGGCAATGCCAAAATGCATTGCTCAAACCCCTTCTTGTTTGCCGTCCAGGTTATGCTTGGCATGCTGCTATCTTCGGCTGGACCGACATCGGGCAACTCATCAATGGATTTTCAACGCGTACCCACGAACACTGGACATACCTGGCCTTATCATCGGGCACCGGATGGCGTTGGCGGTCACTTACAGCGCAACATTGTCCGAGACCATGACGTCACGGAGTTGCTAGCTGCTATTTAAGAGACTGTCTTGCGAGGGATCCTTCAGTGGGCGCGGCGGCAATGCCAAAATGCATCACTCAAACCCCTTCTTGTTTGTCGTCCAGGTGAGAAAGCGATTTGGCAAATGCTTTCATAGCAGTAATGTATGCCTGGTCTTGCTGCCGTGCCAACACCTTTTGCTTGAATGGTTCTGTGATTTATCGTCTTCCTTGCGTTTGTTGCTGCTGCTGGCGGGGGATGTCGAGACTAATCCTGGGCCTCGTGACACTGTGCTTGAAGAACAGCTCAAAATAATTGCAAAGGATATCCAGGAGATAAAGAACGAAAAAATGGTGACCAACCAAAAGCTTGCAGCTGTAGATAAAAAGTTTGAAAAAATAGGCAAAATGGAAAAGCAGGTACTTGAATGCGTGGAAAGGGTTGATAAACTTGAAAATGTGGTTGTATCTTTGACTAAAAAAATTGACGAGTTAGATAACAGAGGCCGTAGGTCTAACCTTGTTGTGTATGGTGTCAAGGAACTTGAAACTGAAACGCACCAGGATCTGCTTGACGCTGTTGAAAAAGGAATCTTTGAAGATAAGATTGGAATAAAAACGGCTGGCATAGAAAGAATTCACCGTCTTGGGCGACGGAAGGCTACTGGCAGTCCTAAAAACAGACCTGCAATCTTAAAGTTACTTGACTATTGGGATAAAGACAATATACTTAAAAATTGCAAGAAGCTAAAAGGAACGGAATACTCAATTAGCGAAGATTTCTCGCCCGTAGTCAGAGAAATTAGAAGAAAGCTCTGAGACAGAACAAAGGAACACCGAGACCAGAAAGACAAAGTTTTCTTGTCTTATGATAAAGTCAGAATTAATAATCGCCTGTACACCTGGGATGACCAGAGTAACGACATAGTGGAAGTCGCAAAAAACGGAAGCAGGGACAACGAACAAGCCGGGCGACCTTGAAACCGCCCTCGACGCTAGTTGTGCTTAACGTTAATGCGCGCAGCCTTATCGATAAAATCAAACACTTTGAAGCAAACCTGATTGCACTCGAACCCAACATTATTTGTGTGACTGAGACTTGGTTACATTATGATATTGGAAACTGTGAGGTGGCTCCACAGGGCTATTTCATTATCCGAAAAGATAGACCAGCTAGAGGCGGTGGTGTCGCCTTGCTCCTAAAACAAGGCATAAGTTACACAGTGATGCCAGACGTTTCGGGTGTAGAGGCGGTCTAGTGTAGGATTCAGCTAGGCCAGAATAGACTCTTCCGAGCCGAAGCGTCATATCTTGATCAGCTTCTAGATTATATGCAAGATCACATGGCGGGGAGCGGCATAATAATGGGAGGAGATTTCAATCTCCCCGATATTAATTGGAACTCTCTATGCCCATCAAGTGTAACAAACAATATATTTCTAAGTCGTCTGTTCACTTTCAACCTTACCCAAGTTGTTTCTCAGCCTACTCGTGTGCAGGGCACTTCAAGCTCCATCTTAGACCTCGTTTTTTTGAGTGATTTCTTTTTGAAAGGGAAATACAACGTCGAAGTCCACGAAGGAATATCTGACCAAGATATGGTTTTGTGTACGCTAACACTTCCAGAAAAGGTTGCTCAACGTGGTACTAGAAAGTCCGTGTACGCCTTTAACAGAGCAGATGACGATGCCATTATGACCTACCTAGCCCATGAGTACCACAACTTCAATGAACTGGTCTCAGACGGCTCGGCTGGCTTAGACGAGATTTAGCTTTTGTTCAAAGCACATGTTATGCACTGCTTGGGGCAATATATCCCACAAATTCAAAAGAACACTAACAAGTACAACCCATGGATCACGCGCGATGTAATTCACATAAAACGAAGAATAAAAAGACTGAGGAAATCTAATAGGGTCCTCCCGGACCCGGACTTCCACCAAAAAATAAATTCATTAAACAGGCTGCTAAAAGAATAAACAAAGTTAGCAAGGCAGCACTACTGCAGTACAACGCTTAACAACTTTATCCAACATTCACCCCAAAAATTCTGGCGATATATTAGATGTAAAGAAAGCAGTGCAAAACCACTGTCACCCAAGGAAGAAAAGCAACAAGCAGAAACCAGGGTGTCTAGCAACCGGGAAAACCGGGAAAACCGGGAATTGTCAGGGAAATGATACACGCCGGGAAAAATCAGGGAATCGTCAGGGAATGTTGCTAAAAAAAAAACCCATTCAGGGAAAATGACTCGCAACTTGTTCCCCGGCGCGGAGCGCGCGCTCAGCTCACCGTAATTGGCGCAAACAGCCAACGGGGACAGATCCAATCCAAGCCAGTGGGGCAGTAGTGCCAAGGTTGACAAGTTTGGCCTTTTTTTCTCCGTGGCCTGGCAACCTTGAGCAGTGCGCGCTGGGCATGCTGGGTATACACTTTTGTTGTTTTGGACCACCTCTTCTGTCCGCCATGTTTTAAACGACGGAACCTTCCCGTGACGGTGTGTTTTCATCGTTTTTTTTTTCTGAAGAGAAGCCTTCTCACTGACGATGTCGGCGGCGAGAAAGTGCTCCTTTAATTCGGACTGGACGAACCCGAACGTATCGGAATATGCAAGCTGGATTAAGCCCGTGTAGAATGATCCTCACAGTGCTCATTGCACACTGTGCTGCAAAACGTTTTCTTTAAGCTACATGGGAGGAACTGCAGTTTCCAGTCACGTGTCCAGCAAGAAGCATCTTGCTGGTTTGAAGTGTCGGTCGAGCGCCTCGCAAACTGGTATGTTGTCCTTTTTTACGCCAGCGACGAACGCTTCGGCCAAATGTAGCGAAGACCGGACAGTCGTGCCCGAGGAGCCTGCCCCCACCACAAGTGCGAAGACATCGATGAGTGGCTTTCTTCTGAAGAGCGCTGTGACAAAGGCCGAAATAATGTGGTGCTTAAACGCGGTAGTGACTCACACGGATCTTTTCGGTCAAGAGCGGCGTTGGCCTCGCTCTTCCCTCTCATGTTTCCGGGATGTGAAGTCGCTGAAAAACTTCATCTAGGGAAGGACAATGTAGGGTATACGATTTGCCACGGTATTGCGCCTTACTTTCGTAAGAATCTTCTATCAAGCCTTGCCGGTGTGCCGTTCTTAGTTGTTTCATTTGACGAGTCGCTGAACAAAGTGACCCAGAAGCAACAGATAGATGTGCTCGTCCGATATTGGGATGACACTACTGATGGCACTGTGAAAACGCAGTAGCTAACTTCATGCTTCTTGGGGCAATTGTGTGCAGAGGACCTGGCATCTGCATTTAGGAAGGCCACAGAAGAGCTCAAGCAAGCCAAGATACTACAAGTTTCAATGGATGGGCCGAATGTGAACATGAAGTTCCTGAGGTCACTGAAGGAGGAACTCAAGGAGTTGGATGAGAGTCACAATATCCTAGATATTGGAAGTTGCGGGCTGCACGTAATGAATGGAGCATACAAGGCAGGTCATGCTGCAACTGGCTGGGATGTGATAGGCTTTCTTCGCAGCAGCTACAACTTGTTCAAATGTGTGCCTGCAC